ACCAACGTTAAAAGCAAAGGATCGCTTAAGCGATCATGCGTCTAGGCACTTATTTATTGTCTTATTCATGATCGCTTAAGCGACCAACAGTAAAAACGAAGAATCGCTTAAGCGACCAACAGTAAAAACGAAGAATCGCTTAAGTGATACTAAAGCGATCCTGCATTTGGACACTTATTTATTGTCTTGTTCATGATCGCTTACGACCAATAGTAAAAGCGAAGAATCGCTTAAGCGATACACTTAATCGCTTAAGCGATTGTGCATCTAGGCAGAAGTTTATCCTGCCTCGGACATGATCGCTTAAGCGATTTGTAATTGCTTAAGCGACCAAGGTTAAAAGCAAAGGATCACTTAAGCGATAGAATAAATCACTTAAGCGATCGTGCGTCTGGGCACTTATTGATTCTGTCTTGTTCGTGATCGCTTAAGCGACCAAGTTTAAAAGCACAGAATCGCTTAAGCGATAACATAAATACAATCAAATCTCTTAAGCGACTAAGTCTAAATACACAGGATCGCTTAAGCGAGAAATGAAATCTCTTAAGCGATCCAGTGTATTTGGATTATTTTTATTGTATTTCACTAGATTGGTTAAGCGATTAACTCTATCTCAAACATATAAGGGGTACGATTCATTCAGTGGACCATGACCATTATTATATTTTAATTCACTTAGTTCTTTTACAGCTATATTAAACATACATGGTGTAGAATGTTTACGTCTATATTAAACATATCAGGTGTACGATTCATTCAGTGGACTATGACCGTTATTACATTTTAATTAAATTAGTTCTTTTACAGCTATGTTAAACATATATGGGGTAGAATGTTTACGTCTATATTAAACATATTAGGTTTACTATTCATTCAGTGGACCATGACCGTTATTATATTTTAATTAAATTAGTTCTTTTACAGCTATATTAAACATATATGATGTAGAATGTTTACGTCTATATTAAACATATCAGGTGTACGATTCGTTCAGTGGACCATGACCGTTATTATATTTTAATTAAATTAGTTCTTTTACGGCTATATTAAACATATATGGTGTAGAATGTTTACGTCTATATTAAACATATCAGGTGTACGATTCGTTCAGTGGACCATGACCGTTATTATATTTTAATTAAATTAGTTCTTTTACGGCTATATTAAACATATATGGTGTAGAATGTTTACGTCTATATTAAACATATCAGGTGTACGATTCGTTCAGTGGACCATGACCGTTATTATATTTTAATTAAATTAGTTCTTTTACGGCTATATTAAACATATATGGTGTAGAATGTTTACGTCTATATTAAACATATCAGGTGTACGATTCGTTCAGTGGACCATGACCGTTATTATATTTTAATTAAATTAGTTCTTTTACGGCTATATTAAACATATATGGTGTAGAATGTTTACGTCTATATTAAACATATCAGGTGTACGATTCGTTCAGTGGACCATGACCGTTATTATATTTTAATTAAATTAGTTCTTTTACGGCTATATTAAACATATATGGTGTAGAATGTTTACGTCTATATTAAACATATCAGGTGTACGATTCGTTCAGTGGACCATGACCGTTATTATATTTTAATTAAATTAGTTCTTTTACGGCTATATTAAACATATATGGTGTAGAATGTTTACGTCTATATTAAACATATCAGGTGTACGATTCGTTCAGTGGACCATGACCGTTATTATATTTTAATTAAATTAGTTCTTTTACGGCTATATTAAACATATATGGTGTAGAATGTTTACGTCTATATTAAACATATCAGGTGTACGATTCGTTCAGTGGACCATGACCGTTATTATATTTTAATTAAATTAGTTCTTTTACGGCTATATTAAACATATATGGTGTAGAATGTTTACGTCTATATTAAACATATCAGGTGTACGATTCGTTCAGTGGACCATGACCGTTATTATATTTTAATTAAATTAGTTCTTTTACAGCTATATTAAACATATGTCCATAAACATGGAAAATAAATATTGAAGTAAATTACCCTTAATCGCTTAAGTGATCCCGTCTATTTAGCCTTGGTCTACAGAGTGCAGAGCAAATGGTTGCAGAGTTCAATTTTATATTAATATTATATTTTTTTATATTACTTTCTTGCCAAGAAGTAACAAAAATAATAGAATAACAATAGATTTTTCTGTTTTATGTACGGTGCTGATTGGCAAAGACCGAAGTATTCTTTTCACATTCTATTGAAATCAAAAAAATAATTAATAATAAAAAAGGAGTAAATATTAAATAAACATTATGGAATATACTTTCTAACCGAAGTCTATCGCTTACTACATCGCTTAAGCGATCTAGTACAAATAAGCATGATCGCTTAAGCGATCTGTTGCCATATATCTGATCGCTTAAGCGATCTACTGCCATATACCAGACTTATACCAAATCGCTTAAGCGATCTTCTGTCATATACCAGATCGCTTAAGCAATTTTCTGTCATATACCATATCGCTTAAGCGATTTTCTGTCCTATACCAGATTGCTTAAGCGATCTGGTACCATAGACCAGACTTATACCAAATCGCTTAAGCAATCCATAAGATCCAAAACACATTTTCAGCCATCTCCACCTACAATCGGTGCTATCACCCCTGGCTACTCACAATGCAAGAAAATATTCAACAAATTTCACTCCTTTCAACTTGCATTACATCAAACACAAAACAACCAAATCAAAATCATGACCCAAACCCCATCAATTATTAAATCTTTGTAAATCTAAATATAAAATATAAAAAGGAGATACACATACTTAGACGAAATTTCAGGAGGAGGAGGAGGAGGATCTTTGGCGGAGAAGATGTTAATGGTAGAGGAAGAAGAAAGTGTTAATGGCGGAGGAACAAGTAGATATAGAGGAATGAGGAAGAAGAAGATGTAGAGGAAGGAGGAAGAAGAAGATGTAGACGAAGAAGAAGATGCAAAGGAAGAAGAAGATGTAGACGAAGCTAAGAAGAAACAACAACCAAGATAAAGATGCGTTAATGGTGGGAGGAAAAAGAAGGTGTTTGGGTTTGTTTGCAAGAATTTCGGGTTTTTGGGAATATAGTATAATTTTTAAAAGATTACATAATACCTCATTAATCCTAATTAAGCACTAATCAAGTTTAATTACCCTTAATTAATAATAAGGCTATTTAGTTAACACTTTAAAACTTCATAGCCTTTTAATTAAATTTAAACTTGAGATGACCTTTTAATAAACTGCACCGTTTCTCTTGATATAACATCGGGTGAAATCTAATAGTGTTTAGATGATGTTTGTACCGTAGAAGAACTGAATCTTTTGCAATGTAATATAGCGTATTAAAAATCTGTTAGGTCTTACAACAATTATTATCTGAGACAAGGGCGAACAATTTCTTCCTTTTAATTTTCTTTTCCGAAGTTGTAGAGTTCCCAGCATATTACCTGACAAATATCTATTGATTGTTTTGGTGAAAGCAGTGCATATTTTCCGCTGTACTTTATGTCTCTGCCCACGGTTGATAATAATATACTGTAATTTCCCAAAAGTGTCAATATTTTTTTGTCTGTTCTTGGTTGCATTTATTGTGATTAGTAAATGTAATTTAGAGGCCTCAGAATTTTGAGAAGTTGGAACTGCTATTATTTTCTAGATGATAAGACAAATGAGAAAACAATATAGAAAATTTGGAAACACAATTCTGTAAAATGATTTATCTCCATTTTGGGGCTTGTTGATTTAATAGATTACTTTGTGTGCTGTTTGATTCACACATATTTTTGGGATGCATCTCTATGGCCGGATCATGTAAATTATTATATCTTAACAAGCATATCTGATCCTAGTTGCAGTAATCTGTTGATCTCATTTGTATGAACTAATTTTATGCTGCTTCATGCTGACTTCAGCTCTTACTGAGGCTATTGATAGGAATGGTTCATCTGAGGAACTGAAAGGTCAGCTTCTACGCAGGTACAGCGGATACTTAGGTAGTCTCAAAGAGGAGTTCATGAAGAAGAGGAAAAAAGGGAAGCTGCCTAAAGAAGCCAGACAACAATTGCTCGATTGGTGGAGCAGACATTACAAATGGCCTTACCCATCAGTATCTATATCTACCTTGCCTGTTCTTCATCATAAGGGCCTCTTTCTGTTTCCGTTGAATGTGCTGAACAGTAGAACATTAATGCTTGCTAGTTGTCTATTGAACGTTTTGTATGCTGTCTGACAGATTTGCACCTTCATTTGATTTTTATCTGTTTATTTCCCCTCTCAAAGGAAGAGACTTTTCTTATGATATCATTTAGCTCCATTCAGGAGTATACTAGCAGCCATGAACTAAATTAGACCAGTCATGTGCTACGTGCCTCACCGTGTGCCCTTAGTCAAGTACAATGGCCAAGTTGGTGACACGGTTTAGCATTTTTTGTGTCAACAAAGCAACGTTATCTATCCACTCCTTTACCCAGCTTGTAATGGAGTGGTCTTTGTGATGAAACAATGATAATTTGCTGGAAATTTGGTTGGAAATTCAGTTGGTTTTTGAATCAGTTTTTGGCGCCAAAGAACTATTGCTGTCTCCTCTGTCTGCCGTGAATGGAGCTACTGGAGTGGTTGACTTTTAGTGACATGTTTAGGTGCAATCAGCTAAGATTAAGGATGTATTTGTTGTAAACCTTAGTTTTACATTTAAAATATGAATTGTCTGTTTTAGTTGGTGTAACAGTAAGCTTTTGGTTGTATAAATTGTAATGTGCATTGTAATGAAAGTAGACTTTCTCTCAACTCAAAATCTTTTTCATCTTTTTCTTAGTATTCATTGGCACTAAACCCCAACAATTGGTATCAGAGCCACTCGAAAAACCTGAAATTTCTCCTGCACTCAATCATCCATCTCGGCTCAAGAAGACCTCCCATCTCAGCTCAAGAACATTCTGTTCCAGCCTTCTTATTTTTCCTGCTTCAAACATCTAAACTGAATCAATGGCTGCTCAATCAGTCTTGATGTCACCTCCAGTGTTTAATGGGGAACATTATCATATATGGGTTGTAAAGATGAAAGTTTTTCTCTGGGGTCAAGGGCTGTGGCAGTATGTGGAACAAAACATGCAGCCACCACCGTTGGGACCAAATCCTACTCTGAATCAGACGCGAATGCATGAGGAAGAAGCTGCCAAAGCACCGAGAGCCTTATCCCACATCCATGCTGCTGTAACAGACCTTGTATTCACAAGGATTATGACATATGAAACTCCAAATGAGGCATGGGACAAGTTGAGAGAGGAATATATGGGAAGCAACACAACAAGGAACATGCAGGTGCTAAATTTCAGAAGAGAGTTTGAGATGCAGAGGATGCAAGAATCAGAGAAGGTTAAGGATTATGTTGATAGGTTGATGAGTGTTGTCAACAAAATAAGGCTGCTGGGAGTGGAGTTAACAAATAGGAGAGTGGTGGAGAAAGTCTTGGTAAGCTTGCCTGAAAGATTTGAGTCCAAAATCTCTCTTGCGGACTCAAGGGATATGGGGTAGGTTACTCTTACAGAGCTGGTTCATGCGCTACAAGCACAAGAGCAAAGAAAGCTCTTGAGGCAAGAAGATGTAGGTGAGGGTGCAATGATGGCAACTCACAAAAGCAAACCAATTCAAGGGAACAATATGAGATATGCCGGTGATAAAAAGGGGAAAGAAATGAGCAATGGTCAATGGGGAAAACCAGGTGGGATGAAGGAATATCCACCTTGCTCTCACTGTAAAAGGAAGGGGCATTCTTAGATAAGATGCTGGTTTAGGCCAGGGATATAGTGCAGGGCATGCAAATAGTTTGGCCATATGGAGAGGGTCTGCAAGAACAAATGAGAGCAGCCCCAACAGCAAGCACAGGTGATAGATGATCAACAATCTAAACAAGGGACAGAACAACTGTTTGTAGCCTCCTGCAGTGCAACACCAACAAGCTATGAAGGCTGGTTGGTTGACAGTGGATGTACAAACCATATGACACCATACCTGCAAGATTTTTTCAAATTAAATCCAGCACATCAGTCTAGGATCAAGATTGAAAATGGTGACTATGTTGAAGCAAAGGGAAAGGGAGATGTTGCAGTCTAGACCTCTACAGGTACACAACTCATTTTCAATGTACTCTATGCACCCGAAATTAGTCAAAGTCTTTTAAGTGTAGGACAAATGTTAGAAAACAATTATGTCTTGCATTTTGAGAATCAAATCTGTCAAATTTTAGACAGTAAGGGGTGTGAGCTGATGAAAGTTAAAATGGTGGGGAAAAGCTTTCCCATTAAGCTGAAAAGAACTAAAAATAAAGCTTATAATGTAAGGGTAGATGAGTTTGAGAAATGGCACAAGAGACTTGGTCACTTTCACCATCAAGGTCTCAAGGAAATTCAGACCAAGAAATTGGTCCAGAATCTACCCGAAATAGAGGAGAGTAAAACTGTATGTCTAGCTTGTCAACTTGGCAAGTTGAGTAAGCAGTCTTTCCCTATAAACCAAGCCTGGAGAGCATCTAAAAAACTCCAGCTCATTCATACAGACTTGTGTAGTCCTATGGAAACCTTGTCATTGAGTGGAAGTAGGTATTTTGTATTGTTTATAGATGACTAGTCTAGGTTGTTTTGGGTGTATTTTTTGAAGCAAAAAGGAGAGGTTGCTAGTGTATTTAAGCAGTTTAAGCAACTGGTGGAAAACCAAACTGGAAAAACTATAAAAATCTTAAGAAGTGACAATGGTACAGATACTTCTCAAGAGTTTGAACAAGTATGCAAGGAAGCTGGAACTAAGCATCAATACAGCAGCCCCTACACTCCACAGCAAAATGGAGTCAGTGAGAGGAAGAACATATCAATTATAGAGATGGCAAGGTGTATGGTGGCAAAGAAGAGGTTGCCAAAGAATTTTTGGGCAGAAGCTGTCAACACAGTAGTGTTCCTGCTCAATAGGCTTCCCACAAAAGCCTTAGATAGCAAAACACCTTATGAAGCATGGTATGGAGTTAAACCAGTAGTAGATAGGCTCAATGTATTTGGAAGCATATGTTACATTTTGGTTCCAGCAGCAAAATGATCCAAGCTGGATGAGAAGGCCTTTATTGACATTTTTATTGGTTATAGTAGTCAATCCAAAGCCTATAGGGTGTATGTTCTAGAAACCAAAAAAATTCAGATTTCTAGGGATGTCAAAATAGATGAGGATGAAGTTTGGAATTGGGAAGAAAATAGAGCTAATGTGGTGACAAAACCAAAATGGACAGAAGTTACAAGTGATCAGATTATTGAGGATGATGAGAGTGATACAGAAGAAGAACTCTCAATTAGAGGTACTAGACCTTTAGCTAAGGTTTATGAGAGATGTAACATGGCTTCACTAGAGCCAACATGTTACTTTGAAGCAGCAAAATCAGAGGTTTGGAAAGCTACCATGAAGGAGGAGCTGGTAATGATTGAGAAGAACCAAACTTAGAACCTGGTTAACAGACCTCAAAACAGAAAAGTAATCCAAGTTAAATGGATTTTCAAGAAGAAGCTCAACCCAGATGGCTCAGTTCTTAAGCACAAAGCTAGACTGGTTGTCAAAGGTTTTGCTCAGCAGTATGGAGTTGACTTCCTGGATACCTTTACACCAGTTGCAAGGCATGACACAATCAGGTTGTTGCTTGCAGTGGCAGCATAGTTTGCATGGAAAAAATTTTAGTTAGACATCAAATCAGCCTTCCTCAATGGATGGCTGAATGAGGAGATATATATTGAACAGCCGGAAGGGTACAAAATCAGGGGAAAATAAGATAAAGTTTATCTCCTAAAGAAGGCCTTTTATGGCCTGAAATAGGCACCAAGGGCCTAGTACAGCAGGATCAATGATTACTTATTGAGTTTGGATTTTGTAAGAAGTCCAAATGAGCACACATTGTATGTTAGAGAGATTGATGAAGATGTGTTGATTATCTCCTTGTATGTTGATGATCTACTTGTGACAAGGAGCAAACTAACTCAACTAAAGGAATTCAAGAAATCCATGTTTGATGAGTTTGAGATGACAGATTTATGTGAAATGGCTTATTTTCATAGGATGCAGGTTTATCAAAGCTTAGCTAGAATTTTTGTTACATAAGAGAAGTATGCAATTGAAGTTCTAAGGAAATTCAATATGGAGAATTGCAAATTAGTAGACATTCCACTGGTTCCTAATCAAAAGCTGTCAAAGGATGATGTTGCAGAAAGTGTAGATGAAGGGCATTATAAGAGCTTGGTTGGCTACTTGCTGTACCTAACAGCAACAAGACCTGATATCATGTTTGCTACAAGTTTGTTGTCCAGGTTTATGAATCAGCCCAAGGAAACACACATCAAAGCTGCAAAAAGAGTGCTAAGATATGTAAAGTAATTTGTTACTTTAAAAAAGGGTGTTTTAAGATGTTTTCTACTGTGGAGTCATGCACTTATGAGAGTTGATGACAGTATCCCTCATGTAAAGTTTCGCTGCTTTGGTTGTCCAATCGCTATAAGTATGTTTACCTAATTTTCTGTAAGGATTGATTTAGATGATTAACGTTATATATGTGATTGTGATAGGGAATAAATATGAGGAAACAAGGAGAACAGATCCAGGTCACAGTGATGCTTCAAATGCACAAGATTTTCCAACTGCACCTAAAGCTCCTAACCCAGCAGCTGCTACTTCAAGCGCTCCGGATTTAGATGTTGCAACATTGGAGCGTATGATCTAGGAGGCTATTAATAGAGCTTTAAGGAGAACCCCGTCGAAAAGTACAAGTACTCCGGTGACAACAGTGATGACCAATGTGGTTCCAAGTCAAGCAATAGGGATGAGTACCTCAGAAGCAATGGTTCTTCCAAAGCAGATTGAACCGATTTATGGCCTCTCAAGTAAACATTAGCCTCTAGAATTTAGCGCCACTAATGATCCAACAGTAGCAGAACAATGGATCAAGTTGGTGGAGAAAGCTACTACTCTATTTAGTCTAAACTTGACTTACACAATCAATTAATCAATATTAAAAATGATCAAGCTATAAAATCGATTAAAGATTGAATAAACAACAATGAATGAAATTAAGATTGCATTGAATTGATTAAACAAGTAAATTAGATTAAAAACATAGAGTATTCTAATTAGGCTACATAGGATACACTAGATAAGGGGTTAGTTACACATAATTACAAGAAAACAAACCTTAATCTTACCCATAATCATTTAGATCAAGAATTAACAACAAAAATCAAGGTTTTGTTTCTTGCCTCCCAAAAACCCCTTCTCCAAGTTAGCCCAATTGTTTACAAAGTTTGAATACCTAAAAAACGAAATAAGTTTCCCTTCTATAGTTTTTTACAAGTAAGGACATTTTTGTATTTAATATAAGGCAAATCAAGGTTACAAAATGCGCATATTTTGCATTCTACTTCAACTATGCCTCAGCATGATTTTTGCCAATTTGTGCTTCGACAAAAACCATTCCACGCCGTGGCACAGGATGAATCATGCCGCAGCGTGCACTGGCTTTTGCCGATTTGTGCCGTGATGCCATAAATCTATGCCACAACCAACTAGAATTACGTTGATTTGTGCCATGGCATAAGAAAACTATGTCGCGGCGCAACCTTGAAGTTCCAATTTTTCATCTTCATGTCTTGATTCATTCGCACTCTAATGTGTCCCGATGGTTCAAACATCAGTGCACGTACGAATAATCAATTTTGCACCTAAATTCCTGAAAACAGATACAACCCCGTGATTCTTGAAGATAAAGAAACATGCAAGGAATTTCATACAAAATAATGCATTAATCAACTCACCAAATCACTAAATATATATGCATTTTTGACACTCATCACAACCCCCAACCAGCTTATTGCTAGTCCTTAGCAATTAAAGTGATAGAAAATAAAATCTAATCCTAACTAAACTATCCTAAACTAAACCACTTCTATAGGTTTTCATGATTACATTTAGCATATGCAATAAGCCTTTTAACCAGTAGGTCTCCTTAGTGGGCGAGTTATAGTCTCATGAGGGTTTACAGTGATGTTACCCACAAACATCCTATAAGTCCTAACACGCATATTTACAAGACAAAAATTTCCCAGATTAATCAATAGATGTGTCTCATACATCGCATACACATATAGTCAATAGAATAAGCAATCATTACTCACATCTAAGAACACCCTAAATATCAGTTTCACCTTCATTCTCAACTCTCTCACACTAGTCAATTCCACAATCCACTAATCCTAGCCCTAGAGGTAGTTCCATATGCAGCTTCCATAAGAAAAAAATTTTGATCCCATAAATACGAAAACTCTAAAAACATAACTCCATAGGTGTACTTTTCAGATCACTCTCTACTAATATAGAACAAACACACAACTTAAGATCATTAGGACTTAATAAGCTTGTAACGTTAGGCTAAGGTATTGGGTTATAAAAGAATGTAAAGGATTCAAGCAATTAAGAGGAATAATCTTACCTTTAAAGAACATGATCGCTCAAAACAACTCATTCTCTCAAACCTTTAAACCTTTATTTTATTGCATCACTCTTCCCAACCACAATCAAATCTATACCCTTTTCATACTTTTTTTTTTGGTTTTTTTTGAATGCTAATTAAAACCAGAATTTTGTGAAACCCCGCGTTATTATTCCGATGCCCTAAGGTATGAAATTTACCTTTTCAAGTAATTTTTTTTTGAATGGAAGGCTAAAATGGTCAATTTACATGTATTCAAGATGTGGCCATT